GTGGCATCAGCCTAGCTCACAGCAACCTCAAACTCCTGGGCTCAAGCGATCCTACTGCCTCAGCCTCCCGAGTAGCTGGGACTACAGGCACGCGCCGCCATTCCTGGCTAATTTTTTCTGTTATTAGTTGTGGTTGTCCAGCCAATTTCTTTCTACTTTTAGTAGAGATGGGGGGGTCTTGCTCTTGCTCAGGCTGGTCTCTAACTCTTGAGCTCAAGCGATCCTCCCGCCTCGGCCTCCCAGGCTAGGATTACAGGCGTGAGCCACCGCGCCCGGAGCGCCCGGCCAGGTCTGAGAAATTCTGAGTACTGAAGGGTGTAAAAGCCAGGTGTGGGCTAGGGTTTGCAGCGTACAGGATGTCATCTGCCTGTAATATTAACAGTTTCCAGCAGGGCGCGGTGGCTCACGCCTGTAATCCTAGCACTGAGAGGCCAAGTCGGGAGGATCGCTTGAGCCCAGGAGTTTGAGGTTGCTGTGAGCTAGGCTGATGCCGCGGCACTCTAGCCCGGGCAACAGAGCAAGACTCTGCCTCAAAAAAACAAAACAAAACAAAACAAAAACAGTTTCCTTGAAAGTTGGTCTGGAAATTGATTGGGTGAGGGCATAATGCAATGCTGATTTCACCATCAGGTGAAGAGGGTACCGACCTTAATTAATGATTCTCTTGTTGTGACTTACTGATAAAGGTATTGGGAAATTGAAACCGAGGCTCCATTGGCTACAACCTTGCCGATTGGCTACGGGCCAAAAACGCCCCCAACCTTGGTCAGTCCCCGCCTACATCCCCACCTCTGGCTCGGTCTCAGCCAATAGCGAAAATGGCACCACGCGTGAGGCGGGGGCCGGGGGCACACAGAGAGCACCTATTGGTTGGCAGCGGCACTGGCCGCCTCCTTTGTTTCTCCATTGGCCCGCTCGGAACCCGTGAGGGGATGAGCCAGAGCTAAGCATATTAAGGAGCAGGGGAGCCAGCCTAGAGGGAGCCAGGAGCCTGTGGGAGACGCTGCTGCGACCGCGCGACTGAGTGAGTGCCCTCTGCCTGGCCCGCCCCTTCATCCCCTGGCTCTATGCGGCTAGACGGCCAGCCGTCGGCATGCCTGCGCGAGACCCTCGCCCACACCACCCCGCCTTGCGTCCGCGCGAGACGCCCCCGCCCCCCGGCTGCCACGCAGTTGTCCAGACGACAAAAGATCCGCCTTTTCATTGGGCAGCTGGACTGTAGGGTTTTAGTTCTGATTGGTAATCTTTGTATCCGCTCCTCCTTTCCTTCTTTAGCGCCTCGAGCTAGACACCTGCCTTCCACTTGCTTCCTCGTTCCAGCAGGTGGGCTGCATTTTACGTTATCGAGGGGAGGCTCTGGTTTTCTAAACGCTGGGCCTGAGGATTGTAGTTCTGTTTAGTCTTCTCTCCCCCGTCCCCCAACTGCAGTTTTCAGGACTACAGGAAAGGGAATAGTTGTCCGTTGAAAGGTGCAAGACACCCCTGCATTGGGACCACACCTGGTTCTTGGGTCTCCCGCCAAACCGTGACCCCTGAGTGCTGGAACAGGTTTGGTGATCATGTCTCTCCCACCAGACTGTGACCCATGAAGGATGGGGCAGGGCTGGTCTTCACCAGACTTTGACCTCTGAGGTCTGGGATCAAGCCTCACATTCTCCTGTGTCCTTCACCATGCCATGATCCCTGAGGGCTGGGACCAGGCCTGTTTCCTGTTTCTACCACATCATAATATGGCTCCCACAGAGCTAGAGCAAGCTTTCAGTCTTTCTGTGGCCTTATATTTGTCATCATGTTCATAAAACAGCATATGATTAGATTAATTTTAATCCAGTCTTGCAGTCTGTTAACTGGTAAATTCAGTCCGCTTACATTTCTTATGGTAGTAAAGTATTTGAATTTGATTTTATTATCTCATTCTGTGCTTTATATTTGTACAGGTTTTTCTGTTCCTTTTTTCTCCTCCCTATCCATACGCAGCCGTCAGCCCACAACAACATGACCACCGACACCGGCCCCCTGCACCCATACTGGCCTCGGCACCTAAAGCTGGACAGCTTTGTGCCTAATGAACACTCCGGCTGGCATTTGGTGGCTGGCCTCTTCTCTGTCTCTGGGGTCTTAGTCGTAACCACATGGCTGTTGTCCGGTCGTGCTGCAGTTGTCCCACTGGGGACTTGGCGGCGACTGTCCCTGTGCTGGTTTGCAGTGTGTGGCTTCATTCACCTGGTTATTGAGGGCTGGTTCAGTCTCTACCACAAGGACCTTCTTGGAGACCAAGCGTTTTTATCCCAGCTCTGTGAGTCCTGAGTTCTTTCATGTACTGTGTGAGGGAATTTTCTGGGCGGGGATTGACTTGGATGTTTACCCACCTACCAATTCTTCCATTAATTTATTTTTAAAATTCATTTAACCTTTTTGTTGCATATATATTTCACATGGGTCAAAAAACCATTTAGAGAGATGTGCAGAGTTTGAGACCAGCCTGAGTAAGAGCGAGACCCTGTCTCTGCTAAAAATAGAAATTAGCTGGACAACTAAAAATATATATAGGAAAAATTAGCCGGGCATGGTGGCGCATGCCTGTAGTCCCAGCTACTTGGGAGGCTGAGGCAGAAGGATTGCTTGAGCCCAGGAGTTTGAGGTTGCTGTGAGCTAGGCTGACGCCACGGCACTCTAGCCCGGGCTACAGAGTGAGAGTCTGTCTCAAAAAATAGATAAATAAATAAAAAATAAAGATAATGTGCAGTGAAAATCTGTCTTCTATCCACCAAGTTTCCCTAAACAATATTAACTACTGTTAATAATTGTTTATGTTTCCTTCCAAAATTTCTTTACACAAAAATTACACACATAAGCCTCAGTTTGCTCAATTGTGAAAGGGGAATAATTGTAATACCCAGCATACATAAGGTACTTAGAATTTGGCAAACAGTAGATGTCATGTAATTGTTTACTGTTATCATTATCATTATTTTTATTTCTCTCTTTTTACATAAATGGTAACATACTGTATATACTTTGGAACTTTGCTTTTTTTAACGAGGTCACTCCATCAGTTCATAAAGAGCTTTCAAAGCATAGATGTTACTGAATTATTTGACTTATCTAGCACTGCTGGGCATTTTCCCCCAATCTTCTGCTACTGTAAACAGTATTCCTTTTTGGCCTCATGAGTAAAGCTGCTATGAACATTTTAATACAAATCTTCGTGTAGACATTTGCTTTCATTATTCTTGGGTAAATATGTAGGAGTAGAATGTCTGGGTCTTATGGTAGGTGTGTGTATAACTATGAAAAACTACCAAACTGTTTTCAAAAATAGTTGTACGATCTTTCATTCCCACCGACAGTATAGGAGAGTTCTGGTTCTTCCACATCCTCACCAACAGTTGGTATGGTCAGGTATTTCTTCAGTTTTAGTCATTCTAGTGGATGTGAGTAATATTTCATTATGATTTTAATTTGTTTTCCTTAGTGCCTAATGAACGTTTGAGCACCTTTCATACGTTTATTGGCCATTTGGAAATCCTCTTCTCTAAAGAACTTGTTCAAGTCTCCTGCCTATTTTTATATTGGGTGATCTTTTTATTGATTCTTTGCTCACACTTTCATTCACTCATCTGTTCACCTGCATGCACTCACTCTCACTCTCTCTCATTGGCTACTTCACTCCATCATCTACACCTGCCTCCTTTATGCCACAAACATTTCTTGAGTACTAAACAATCACAGTAACACTGTTCTGTCAGGCTTTGCACACAATATCTTGTTTTATATGTATTAACCTCTAGAATCCTAACTGCCACCCCATTTCACAGGTGAGGAAACTGAGGCACGGGGAGGTTATGAAGTCTGTCTTCTTACAGGAGCCCCCAGCTCTCACAAATGTGAGTTCCTTTTCCTGACTTTATTCTTCATATATCTCTCTTGTTTTCTTCAGGGAAAGAGTATGCCAAGGGAGACAGCCGATACATCCTGTAAGTGTTTGTTGCCTCTGTCAATGGAGACCTGCGTTGGTTTGGTGGGGGTGGTGGGTCAGGGAGCACTAATGGGGTACCCTGTGGGCAGAGTACACTGACTCCAGTGTCCCTTCATCCTTTCTCCTGCAGGGCTGACAACTTCATGGTATGCATGGAGACTGTCACGGCTTTCCTGTGGGGACCACTCAGCCTGTGGGTGGTGATTGCCTTTCTCCGCCACCAACCCCTCCGCTTTGTCCTGCAGTTCGTGGTCTCTATGGGTGAGGAGAGGGCCTATGCTGGGCACTGTAGGGGTTGATGGGGGATCCACAGATACAAGTGCATTCCTGTAGGTGGGATCTCAATTGTGCCCATCCAGGGGTGAGTCAGACATATTCCCTGAGCTTCTGGTACCCCTCTCTGCCTGTGTTCTCAAGCAGGAAAGGTCCATTGCTCCTCCTCCTCCATCACAAAGACTCCTGTAAAGGTTACACGAGGTGGCCCATGATGGCAAGAAGCCCCTGCATCCTCCACAATCAGGATCCGAGATCCCTTTATCTGAGAGTCAGTCTTCTTGCGTTCCTAAATTACTAGCTTTCTGTAGTTCTAGAAATATGAGTTCTCTTTAGTCCCAGAAACCTAGCCTATCTTGAATTCTAGGATTTTAAACTTCCTTGAATTCTAAAGGTATGAGCTCTCCTGCGTTCAGAAATTCTCAGCTCTCTGATTTCTGGAATTCTCACTTTTCTGATTTCTCAGATTTTCAGCTCTGTGATTTCAGAATGGTTAGCTCTCTGCATTTGGGATCCCAAGCTCTGATACCTTGAGCGATGACTTGGAAAATGCCTTGGAATAGAGAGTTTGAGATAGCTTCCCCTTCCTCACGGGGGCTTCTTCTTCCCCTCCAACCTCCCACAGGCCAGATTTACGGGGACGTACTCTACTTCCTGACGGAGTACCGCGACGGATTCCGGCATGGGGAGCTAGGCCACCCCCTCTACTTCTGGTTTTACTTTGTCTTCTTGAACACACTGTGGCTGGTGATTCCTGGATTCCTTGTGCTCGATTCTGTGAAGCAGTTCACACATGCCCAGTGTGTGCTGGACGCCAAGGCCACAAAAGCCAAGAGCAAGCAGAACTAAGGAGCTGTGGACCAGGCTCCAACACGGGCCAATCAGGAGCTCTCCAGCTGCCAGAAGAGTCTGGTCCTGCTTCCACAGGTTGGAGGGACAAAGCTAATTGATCTGTCAAACTCTGGCTGATGGGTGGGCACAGAAAGGGCCAGAGATGGAGAAGAAAGGGGCTATGTGAAGCTACTGCCAGGAGACATTGGGACACAAAGGTATAAGAGGAGCCGGGAGGTTCATGATGTTGGCAATTTTTAAAATCAGGAAATAAAATATCTTGATTCTAACACTGAGAGATCTTTAATTACTAACTCCAGAGATGTCCTATAACTGACCCAAAGACCCGCATCTCTGACCTCACAAACCATAGATGCTGTAAGTCACCACATAGACCCTATCATTGACCCCACAGTCCTTTTGTCTTAGCTCGGGCTGCTGTAACAAAATGCCACGGATTGGAGGACTTAAACAACAGAAATGTATTTTCTCACAGTTCTGGAGGCTAGAAGTCCAAGATCAAGGTGCCAGCAGGTTTGGTTTCTTCTGAGGCCTCTCTCCATGGCTGGCAGGTGACTGCCTTCTCGCCGTGTCCTGACATGGTGTTTCCTGTATGATAGAGACTATACATTCATGCTCCTGATATCTCTGTGTGTATCCAAATTTCCTCTTATAAGGACACCAGTCAGATTGGATTAGGGCCCACCCTACCAGGCTCATTTTAACTTAATCACCCCTTTAAAGGCCCTATCTCCAAGTATAGTCACATTCTGTGGTACTAGGGGATAGGGCTTCAACATATGAATTTGAAGGGGACACAGTTCATTCCATAACATTCTGCCTTATGGTCTCCAAAACTTCATGTCCTTCATTTATTTATTTAGTTAGTTAGTTAGTATTTTTTTTGAGACAGTCTCACTCTGTTGCCCAGGCTAGAGTTCCGTGGCATCAAGCCTAGCTCACAGCAACCTCAAACTCCTGGGTTCAAGCGATCCTCCTGCCTCAGCCTCTCGAGTAGCTGGGACTACAGGCATGCACCACCATGCCAGGCTAAATTTTTCTATATATATTTTTAGTTGTCCAGCTAATTTCATTCTATTTTCAGTAGAGACGGAGTCTCGCTCTTGCTCAGGCTGGTCTCGATCTCCTGAGTTCAAATGATCTACCCGCTTCAGCCTCCCAGAGTGCTAGGATTATAGGTGTGAACCACCGTGCCCAGCCTATGTCCTTATATACAAAATACATTCACCCCCATCCCAGCACCCCAAAATTTTTAACCCAGTGCAGCATTAACTTTTAAGTCCCAAGTCTCATCTAAATATCTGGGATGGCTCGGTTGCTCACGCCTGTAATCCTAACACTCTGGGAGGCTGAGGCGGGAGGATCGCTTGAGCCCGGGAGTTTGAGGTTGCTGTGAGCTAGGCTGACGCCAGGGCACTCTAGCCTGGGCAACAGAGTGAGACTCTATCTCAAAAAAAGAAAAAAAAGTATCATCTGAATCGAGTGTGGGTGAGACTCAAGGTATGATTCATCCTAAGAGAAAAAAAATTCCTCTCTAGCTGTGAAGCTGTGAAACCAGATAAGTCAATCTGCTTCCAAAATTCAGCGATGGGACAGCATAAGATAGATATTCCCATTCCAAGGAGAAATTGTTAAGAAGAAAGGGATCATAAGTCGCAAGTAAGTTTGAAATGTAGCAGGGCAAATTCCATTAGATTATTAAGGCTTGAAAATAATCCCCTTTAGCCAGATACTGTGTCCTCTGGGCCTAGTGGGGTGGACTTTCCAGGCTCTCCTGGGAGATAGTGTTGCTCCCTCTGCCCTGAATGGCAGTCTGGCTCACTGAAACTGAGGAGGAGACAGTCCCCCCTTTGGGATCACTCTTCCTTTTTCTTAAAGGATAGTGCACGTTCACAGCCAGAAAGATTTTTTTGTCCTGTGCTGTTGAATCCCAGAAGTCTTGACAGCATTCCTTCATTGCTTGTAGGGGTATTATGCCATCTCTATCCCTGGTTTCTACTGAGATGACTGATTACATCAATGGGTCACACCCATGACCTTCCTTATAGAGTGATTGTCCAGCCACACCCTTAGTGTTCTCTCCAGAATACACTTTCTCAGCTTTTGTAATATTGGATAGGCCAAGAATTTTCCAAATCTTCACATTCTGGTTCCTTTCTGCCTGACAATTTCTTTTTCAATTTATCTGTCTCCTCTTGTATTTTACTATAAAAAGCGAGGAGAAACCGGCCAAATTTTCAACACTGCCTTAGAGATCTCCTCAGCTAAATATCCAAGTTCATCACTCACAAGTTCTACCTTCCACAAAACACTAGAACACAATTCAACCAAATTCCTTGCCTTCCCTCCAGTTTCCAATAACATGTTCCTCATTTCCATCTGAGGCCTCACCAGAAGCACATGTAACATCCATATTTCTAGCAACAGTCTTCAAGGCAATTGTCTTAGTCTGTTCAGGCTGCCATGATAAAATACCATAAACTGGGTGGTTTATGGACAACAGAAATTTATTTCCCACAGTTCTAGAGTCTGGGAAGTCCAAACTCGTGGCTTCAGCAGATTCAGTGTCTGGTGAAGGCCTTCTTCCTCACAGATAGTGCCTTCTTATATCCTCACGTGGTGAAAGGGCAGAACTGTGGTCCCTTCATCCCTTATAAGGGCACTAATCCCTTTCATGAGGCCTCCATCCTCATGACCTAATCTCCTGCCAAAGGCCCCACCTCCTAATAACACATTGAGGATTACATTTCAACATATGAATTTGGGGAGACACATTTCAGGCCATCCAGCAATGTAGGCTTTTTCTAACATGCACCTCAAAACTCAGCCTCTACCCATTACCTAGTTCCAAAGCTACTTGCATATTTTTGGGTATTTGTTACAGCAGCACGCCACTTCCCAGTACCGAAATCTGTGTTAGTTTGTCAGGGCTGCCAAAAGAAAATGCCACGGACCAGATGGCTTAAACAACACATTTATTTTCTCATGGTTCTGGAAGTTGAAAGTCCAAGTTCAAAATGCTGGCAGGTCTGGTTTCTCCTGAGGCCTCTCTCCGTGGCTTGTAGATATGGCCACCTTCTTGTTGTGTCCTTACACAGTCTTCCCTCTGTGCCTGCACATGTCTGTGTCCTAATCTCTTCTTATAAGCGTACCAGACAGATTGGATTGGAGCTCACCCTACCAGGCTCATTTTAACTTAATCACCTCTTTAAAGGCCCTATCTCCAAATACAGTCATCACTTTCTGAGGCACTAGGGAGTTACAGCTTCAACATGAATTTTGGGGGGATATAGTTCAGTCCATAACTTCCCTCTACGCTCACCCCACTCACTTCCCAATACTTCGCACAGACCTCCATCACACACCCTGACTATTCACCCTACAGGCTCCCCATGGCTGCTGCACAGCCCCACATTATTCACCCCACCGTCCCCGTGCAGATCTCTCATCACAAACCCTAAAGATCCCCCATCATTAACCCCACATATTCACACCACTTGCTCCACAGACCACTCATTACTCAGCCAATAGACCCCACCCCTGCATCATTTGGCTCATTGGCCCCTAATCACTCACTGCATAGACTCACTCGTCACTGACCCTACAGAGCTCCAATCAGTCACCCCAAGGTGCCTCATCCCTCATCTCACAAACCCACCATCTCTCATCTTACAGACCAGCACATCACTCACCCCACAGAACTGTCTCAGTCACCTACAGATCCTGCATTACCGTAAAGACACCTTCACTCACCCTACAGACCCCATCATTCACCTCAAAGACTCCCCGTCACTTAACTCATTACCTTCATCACCTTACAGGCCCCATCACTCATTTTCTTGTCTCTTGATCACACCTAACACAGGCCTCATCACTAACCCCCTAGACCCCCACCATCGCCTGCATTAAGTCAGCTCGGGCTGCCATAACAAAATGCCACAGACCAGGTGGCTCAAACAACAGAAATTTGTTTTCTCACAGTTCTGGAGACTGGAGGGTGCAAGGTCAAGGTGTCAGCAGGTTTGGTTTCTCCTGAGGCCTCTCTCCTTGGTTTGTAGATAGCTGCCTTCTTGCTGTGTACCTCACATGGCCTTTACTCTGTGCACTCGTGCCCTGGTGTTTCTTCCTCTTCTGTTTCCCCCCACCCTTTTTTTTTTTTCCGAGATAGGGTCTCACTCTGTCACCCAGGCTGGAGTGCGGTGGCAGGATCATAGCTCACTGCAGCCTTGAACTCCTGGGCTCAAGGGATTCTCCTGCCTCAGCCTCCTGAGTAGCTGGGACTACAGGTGTGAGCCACTGTGCTTGACCTTTTCCTCTTCTTTTAAGGACACCAGTCCTATTGGATTAGGGCCTCACCTTCATGACCTTACTTAACCTTAATTATCCTTGAAGATCCTATCCCAAATACAGTCATCTTGGAGGTTAGAGCTTCAACATATGAATTTGGGGGGACACAATTCAGCTCTTAACACTCCCCATCACTCACCCTACAGATGCCACATCTCTCACCTCACAGAGCCACCAACACACACCTCACACCCCCATAACTCAGCCTTTTGGCTTCTGATAAGTCACCCCACAGACATTCCGTCACTAGTTCCAAGGTCCCCCCATCACTCACCCCACATACCCCACCATTAACCCCTAAGACACCCATCACTCTTCCTACAAACACCTTTTCACTTGTTTCATAGATTGCCCATGTTTTGCCCCAAAGAAACCCCATAACTGACCCCGTAGACCCTCGTGGCTCACTGTAGACTGCATCGCTCACCCCACAAGTCACTATTACCCCCAGAATCTTCACTCATTCTGAAAACCTCATAACTCACCCCATAGCCTACACATCACTCACCCTACCAACCCCAACACCAAACCCACAGACCCGCCAATCACTCATCCTACAGATCTCCCATCACTAACCCCATAATCTTGCCATAATTCACCTTTCAGAACCATCACTCAACCTAGAGTCCACCTCTCATCCCACAGACCCCTTATCACTTACTCCACTGTTCCATCTCTCAACTCACTAGTCCTCCACCATTCACTGTATATACCCCATTGCTCACCCACAGATCCATCATCCACCTCATAGATTCCATTACTCTCCCTACAGACCTCCTATCATTCATCCCACAGATGCCCCTCCCTCATACCACAGTCTTTATCATCAACTTCATAGACCCTTGGTCATTAAACAATTGGGTACTTCAGGAGTTTTGAAGAGATGGCAAAGAATGAATAATAAAACTACAGATACCCGAAGACTGGCTTCAGGTGACCTGTGAAGAACAGGACTTCAGTTCAAATCCTGGCTCTGCTCAAGACTACAGTATAGCTTTGGAGAAATGCCTCACTGTTAAGGTCAAAGCCATGCATGATCTCACTTCATTACTTTCTCATCTCATATGCCATCACTCACCTCATCGTTTGCTCTACTTAAAGGCTTTCTGACCTCCTTGCTCTTCCTCGGACATGACAGGCATAGCCCCAACTTCCATCCATTGCACTGCCTAATCTCTATGCCACTTACTACCCCTTTGACCTTGAGCTTGTTTCTCCCTGGCCTTCAGTGCTCTCATCTGTAAAATGCTAATAATAAGGCCGGGCGCGGTGGCTTACGCCTGTAATCCTAGCACTCTTGGGAGGCCGAGGCGGGTGGATTGTTTGAGCTCAGGAGTTGGAGACCAGCCTGAGCAAGAGCGAGACCCCATCTCGAAAAAAAAAATGAATATAAAAAAATGCTAATAATAATAATACTCACTTGCTATGGTTTGAATACTATGGTTTGAACTCTGAAACTCAAGTTGAAACTTAATCCCCACTGTAACAGTATTAAGAGGATGAGAAATCCAACTATGGTATTTGAGAGGTGGGACCTTTGGGAGGTAATTAGGATTAAATGAGTAATAATGGTGGGGCGTTAGTGGCTTTATAAGAGGAGAAAGAGAGACCTGAGCTAGCACGCTCAGCCCCCTTGCCATGTGATACCCTGTTCCACCTCACAACTCTCAGAGTCCCCACTAGCAAGAAGGCCCTCACTGGATGTGGCCTCTTGACCTTGGACTTCCAAGCCTCCAGAACTGTAAGAAATAAATTTCTTTTCTTTATAAATTACCCAGTCTTAGGTATTTGGTTATAGCAACAGAAAATGAACTGAGACACTACCCCCTAGGGTTTTGGGGGGTTTATTTTTTTGAGACAGTCTCACTCTGTTGCCAGACTAGAGTGCACCAGCATCATCATAGCTCACTGCAAACTGACTCCTGGGCTCAAGCAATGCTCCCACCTCAGCCTCCTGAGTAGCTGGGACTACAGGCGTGTGCCACCACGCCCAGCTAATTTTTTCTATTCTTAGTAGAGATGGGGTCTCACTCTTGCTTAGGCTGGTCTCAAACTCCTGATCTCAAGCAATCCTCCAGCTTCGGCCTCCCAGAGTGCCTCATAGGGTTCTTATGCAGATTAAATGAATTAATATATATATGTAGCCTGTCTAGCATATACTTTGTATTTGGTGAATGGAAGAATGAATAAACAAATAAAAGAGAAGGTTCTCCCCAGGAGCATGGCATCTGACCACATCATACCCCTGTCTAAATCCTGTGTTCCAATGCCCCCAGGATCAACTCCAAGCTAATGATTTGCTCATCCCACCCTATGATAACTTAAATGAGAAGCAGACTGTCAAACTCCTTTCCATCAGAAAATCCAGCAGTGAAATAGGTGTTTTTGACTCCATACACATGGGACAAAAGGACATGCCAACAACCCTCTTCTGGCTTTCAAAGAAAATGCTCCATTATTTATACCTTCCAAAAAATAGAGATGTCTATTTAATATTAATACTAAGGCAATACAATATTTTAAAAGATACCAAAATAGAATTGCAGACTTGCCTAGAAAGTTAACCTTAAAGGTAGCATCCATATGACACTGCAACAGTAGCTGAAGTCCTAGTATCTTACAAGACTCCTTTGTTAGAAATAACATTTGTAAGGGCAACCTGTATTTTGTCCAAACCACATGGCTTTTGTGCAATTAAGTAGGGAGAATGTCTTTTTGCCTTTTGCCATACATAAAGTTTCTCAGAGGAGTTTGAGATATGTTCAATCATTCATTCAGCCTACATTTAGTGGACACACATTGTTTAATAACAGGACCAACCTCAATGTGTGGTGAGGATTAAGTAAGACGAAAGCAAACTTTAAACAGCTAGGACTGCCAGAGAGCATAAACTCGCTTTTTGGGGTAAATTATTTAATGAAGTATAGCATGCGTACAAAATCAAAATCATAAAGTGCAAAAATCATATATGTACAGCTCCATGAATTTTGACATGTAAACAATTTTTTGATTTTTTTCTTTATATGACCTTACTTAATCAGGGTGTAAGCTATTTTTAAAAACACTCTGGAACAAGAATTTTTTTTTTTTTCCGTTCATCGGATTCATAAGAAGCGAGGGCCACCGGTATTTGAATAGATGACATCATCTGTCACCAGAGGGGCGAGGTAACTTGGGGCGGGGCGTGCAGCCTTGACAACATCACGCAGCAGCTTCCTTTCCCCGCCTACTTCTCTCGCCCCAACGGGTCACCAGTTTAACACAGATCTAGGTGAATCCGGAAGTCGACTGCCAAAACAGCCAAACCACGGGAGGAGGAGAGGTGGGGCCTCAGTAGGCGCCTGCACACTGGCTGAAATGAAGCAAAATGTCCGGCTTTTGGGGGCGGGACTCCTGCCAATAGCCCGCTAGGCGCATGTGCACAGGAGACCTCCAGCCAGGGCCAGGTGGGAGGGGCAGTAGAGGGGCAGGGTCGCGCAGTGCCCTCTGCGCCTGCGCCCCGGCGCAAGGTGGGGCTGCGGGAGCCCGCACTGTAGGGTGCGCGCAGGGGTAGGGGGCAACTGTCAATTGTCACCCTGAGGCGAACAGCAGCGGGATGGCGACAGCCTCCGGGTCTTTGGACTTGGCTGGCCCCGGAGCGCCCCCGCCCGGCGGGGGAGCCCAGGCGGCGACAGCCGAGGAGGAGGAGCGAGAGGTGGTACGGGTCCGAGTCAAGGTGAGGCTGGCAGCCGGTCGGCCAACCCTCCAGGGCATCCCAGGGGAGGCAAAGGCTGTGGCTGTCATAGGATGGAGGGCGGGACCTGAGATTTGGGGCGTTACCTGAGGGGCGAGGCTTGAGGGTCGAGTGATGGTGGCGAGGTGGGGAGGTGGGAGAGTGGGGTGGGTGGAGGGCCTGAGGGAATGGGGCCTTAGGGATAAACCCTAGGGCGTGTGAATGAAAATGCATAGGCAGGGGCTTATGGAACGTACGGGTGGAGCTTATGGGTAGAGGGGAGGGGCCATAGGATTGGAGGAGGGGCTGCAGTAGTTGAGGGTGGGGCCCTGAGGAGTGAGCCTTGTGCTGTTGCTGGGGGGCTCTGAAGTCAGTCAACACATATGTGTTGGGAATGCACTGTTGTGCGACTCCCCACCATTGGTGAGCTGACATGTTCCTTAGAAGAGACAAGCAGCTAAATAAATGAGATGCTTCAGACACTGGTGAATGCCATGAGGAAGTAACGAAAACAGTTATGAACTAGGGAGTTACTTTAGCCAAGGTTGTACCCGGAAATTTCCAGAGGGGGTACTGAAGGAGACGAGACCCGAATAAAAAGGAGTCAGTCATGTGCATATCAGGGGAAGAGTGTTCTAGGCAGAGGGAACAGCAGGGGCAAAGGCTGGGAGGTGGGGATGAGCTTGGCATGTTCCTCCGTAGGTTCCCATATTGCTGGAGCAGAGAGAGGGAGGGAGAGCATGGAAGGAGGTGAGTCAGGGAGGTAAGAGGGGGCAGATGGAGAAGGGCTTTGGTGTGTACTCAGAGGAAGTAAGCCATTGCAGTAGTTCCAGCAAGCAATGATGGTGGCTCAGACTAGAGTGGTGGTACTTACTGGCACTGATGAGAAGAGGGTCAACAGATCACTTGATCTCTAAGGTAGAGGTTTGGGAATTCAGAAAAAAGATGATGCCTGAGCTGTGAGTGAGCCAGATGAAGAAAGTGGGAAGGATGATGTGCACAAGCAAAGGCCTGGAGTCAGGATGTGTTCAAGGTAACTTCCAACACTTTGGTTCTACCAGAGTGTAAAGTTCAAAAAAACTGGAGAGGCTGGCTAGGGCCTATACGCCCACCTGCTGGGGACCTTAGGGTTGCCACTGAAGAGATTTAAGCAGGGGGTGTTGTGGGTAGATGTGTTAGATTGGTTGCAGCATGCAGGACAGATTTAATAGGAGCCAGACTGGGCATAGTGATTCTGACAACCATAATTGAGAGGACATGGAAGAAGGACTGGGGGCCTGGACTATTGCAGTAGCCTCCTCCTCACTGGATCCCCTGCTTCTACCCGGGTGCCCCATAGTCTTTCTTTGCAGAGCAGCCAGAAGGATCCTGTTAAATCCTAATTCAGGCCACGTCCTGCCTCTGCTCAGAAACCTTTTGTGGCTCCCCCTCAGAGCAAAAGACAAAGTCCTCGACGTGGCCCAGAATGCCTACCTCGATCTGGCCCCTGCCACCTCTCTGACCTTGCCTTCTACCACTCTGCATCTCATTCATTCTTCAGCGTGGTGATGTGGCCCCTGATGGCCTACCCTGTGTCTTCTGTCCCCAGAAATGTGAGAGCATCTTGCCACATGAGTTCCGCTCTTTTGCTGTAGACCCCCAGATCACCTCACTGGACGTGTTACAGCACATCCTCATCCGAGCTTTTGACTTGAACGGGTGAGTGAGAAGATGCTGGGGACTGGCCAGTGGACCACGCAACAGTGGTTTTCTGGCCTTGTTTGTTTGTTTGGTAGGGGTTTTGTTTGTTTGTTTTACTGTTACAAATAATCCCACAGTGAGCAGCCACAAATGCATATCTTGGGGTACAGTAGTTGTGCCTTTTCCAGGGTTTCACTTTCTACGTTTTTTAGTTACCCACAGTCAACTGTGGTCTGAAAATATTACATACAATAAGATATTTTGAGGGAGAGAGACCACATTCATGTAACTTTTATTACAGTATACAGATGGTCCCCAACTTATAATAGTTGAACTTAAGATTTTTCAACGTTATAATGGTTCGAAGCAATATGTATTCAGTACCATACTTCAAGTACTCTTATAACCATTCTGTTTTCACTTTCAGTACAGTATTCAGTAAATTACATGAGATATTCAATACTTTATTATAAAATAAGCTTTGTGTTAAGTGCTTTCGCCCAGCTGGAGGCTAACGTAAGTGTTCTGAGCACGTTTAACATAGGCTAGGCTAGGCTATGATGTTTGGTAGGCTATGTGTATTAAGTGCATTTTCTACTCAATGATATTTTCAACTTACAGTGGGCTTATCGGGACAAAGCCCCAGCATAAGTTGAGAAGCATCTGTATTGTTATAATTGTTCTATTTTATTATTAGTTATTGTTTTTAATCTCTTACTGTGCCTAATTTATAAATTAAACTTTGTCATAGGTATGTATGTATAGGAAAAAAACATAGCGTATACAGGGTTCAGTACTATCTGCGGTTTCAGGTACCACTGAGGTCTTGGAATGTATCCCCTGTGGATAAGGGGGGACTACTGTATTTGGGAAATTCTAGTCATGAGATAATTCCTGGCAGCGATATTGCTGGGTTAAAGGGTGTGTGCTTTTTAAACTTGCAGTGGATGGTTACAACATGCTCTCCAGACAGGTTTTACCAATTTACAATCTCACCAGCAGCATATAAAATGCCTGTTTCACCTACACCCTCCCAAACACTGGTTACCATAACATTGCAAAATTTGCCAACCTGATAGTTCAAAAGTGTGTCTCTTGGGGTCAGGTGTGATGGTTCATTTGTAGTAGTTGTTATTTTGGAGGAATACATGCACATAGTAACAAATTGGAACAGTACAAAATTGATGGGTATTTGGGATGTTTCCATGGTTACAGTGATTATCACACAACATACTTTGCATAGTTGCACAAGTATATCTGAAGAATAAATTCTTAGTTACTTGACTTTTTTGCATAAACATTTTTTTTGTGAAAAATAACAAACACTCGCTTTATTTTTATGTAGTAAGAAAGCTGCTTTCTTCTCACTTCTATCCCTCAACTATCCTGTTACTGTCCCCAGAGGGGACCAACATTTTACCAGTTTCCAATGTGCCCTCCAGATACAAGCAGGTGTGTATCTATTTCTGTGTTTGTGTAACAAAGTGGGTATAAACGACCTGACCTCAGGCTGCCCACAATCCTTGGCACAGTACCCAGCACACAGTAGGCAGTTGCTTTCAACACCTTTTATCCCCCTTGTATTGGAAACTGTCCCTGAGGCCTCCAGGGAACTGGGAGCCCTGAGAACTCCCTGGTATCTTCTGTCCAGGAAGAAGAACTTTGGCATCAGCTACCTTGGCCGGGACCGACTAGGACAGGAAGCTTACCTCTCACTCTTGTCTGACTGGGACCTCAGCACAGCCTTTGCCACTGCCTCCAAACCTTACCTGCAGTTGCGTGTAGACATTCGGCCCTCGGAGGACAGTGAGTACCCAGTGCCCCAGGGGTACTGCTCTGGGACCCACCTTTTCCCTGTAAAGTGACTCTGCCCCTTGCAATACACTCCCTCACAGTGGGCTGTCAGCAAGGTATCCTAGGTATAGATCCTGGCTCAGCCATTGCACCTCAGTTTTTTCACATCTCAAGTAGAGATAATAATATCTGAGGCTCATTGTGAGGATTAAATAGGGAAGTTCACATAAAATGCCTGGAACGGTACATGACTGCATAGTGAATGCTCAAAAAGTGTTGGCTCTAATAATGATAATTACATTATATTGTACTATTACAGCATATAACCTAGTAATATATGTTATAATTATGTAATGTAATATATAGCTGTATTAGTGTATATTTTAGTTATAATATCTAAATATAACAATGCTTATTATAATAATGGTAATTGTGTTCATTCATTCATCCTATACTCATGTTTGTTTGTGCTGTTGTTCACTCATTCATCTGTTCCCTTCATCTCTCAGCCACTTCTTCTCTTTGTTCCTCCATTCTTGCCTATTCTGGTCCCCATGAGCACACACATAAATTAAGACATGGTCCCCAAAATTTGGTTATGGACCATACATTAGGTAATAGTATTGTATCAGTGTTAAATTTCCTGGGTGTATGTCTTAGTCTGTTTGTGCTGCTATAACAGAACACCACAGACTGGGCAATTTATAAAGAATAGATATTTATTTCTCACAGTTCTGGAGAGTGGGAAGTCCAAGATCAAGGCACTGGCAGGTTGTGTGTCTGATGAAGGCCTTCTTGCTTCATCCTCACCTGGTGAAAGAACAAAATAAAGCAAACCCATTCACTCAAGCCTTTTTATTTTATTT